ATTTTGTATTTTTATCTTTTGTTGCTTACCAGTTGCTATGGGTCAAATGTGTCCCCCAAAAGTCCATGTGTTGGAAACTCATTCCCCATTGTAACATGGGTAAGAGGGTGGGAAATCCTATTATGGGAATTGAAAGGGGGGCCTTTAAGAGGTGATTAGATTGTGAGGACTTTACCTTGTGAATGGATTAATCCATTGATGGTTTGATGGGTGGTCATGGGTGCGGTTCTGATGGCTTTGTAAGAAGAGCTCTCTTGCTCAACCTATTCACCATGTGACACCCTGCATCGCTGGGGAGAGTCACCACCAAGAAAAAGGCCCTCACCAGATGCGTGCCCTGGACTTTGGACTTCCCAGTCTCTGAAATGTAAGAAACAGATTGTAGAGGGTTAGAAATCTTGATTCCTATTTGATTATTAGACAGGGTTTTTAGGTAATGCGTGTATGGGACAAAAGTCCTCGATAGGAGGCAAGAGCCTACAGCTGGGGGGGCAAGAGCCCATTGAATCAATTCTAATCAAGTATATGTTGATTCTCAGTTGATTTTTAGTATAGGGTTTTTAGGTAATGCATGTATGGGATAAAAGTCCTGGGATAGGAGGCAAGAGCCTACAGCTGGGGGGGCAAGAGCCCATTGAATCAATTCTAATCAAGTATATGTTGATTCTCAGTTGATTTTTAGTATAGGGTTTTTAGGTAATGCATGTATGGGATAAAAGTCCTGGGATAGGAGGCAAGAGCCTACAGCTAGGGGGGCAAGAGCCCACCAAATCAATTCTAATCACTTTTAGGTAAGGGATTATATATACTGGTTATTAATATAATAGGTTCATTGGAAGACTTTGTGAAAGGGAAACTCATACACAGGTTTAAAGCCTTTAATGTGAACAAGAGAACTGGAACAGAGCAAGGATTGTTCTGAGGGCAATAACCTTTAATACAACGAAGCTTAAATGATGGGAAAACATGTGAGTTAAGATTTCCAAGGATGTTTTCCTAGATTAGTTAGTACATGGAGGGTTTTCCACATTTTGCTTTGAGCTGTTTCTGTGAGTTTCTCAAGAAGTCGGGCACTTTCATGATTGTTTATTGTTTCTTTTGCATGTCACCTGGCTTAGATTTATGATTCTTTTATGGTATATTGTTTAAACTATTTTAAACCATGCATGCTTGGATGGAGATTGTTACCTAGCCAATTTCTGTATGTTCTTACTATTATTGGTTAACCATCTGTTCTTTTCCTGTAACTTCCTTGTCTTTTCAATAAAAATTGAAGAAAAAACCAATTCAGGGCTGCTACCTAGTTTCTCCTTCTAACAGAGGAGTTGCTGGGGTACAGTCCCTTCAGGCTTCTCATCCCATTCATGTCACTTTGAGTAATCTCTTCTCCTCTCTGTTGCACAATGAGAAGTGTAACAACAAGTTTTATTTCTTTATAAATTGCCCAGTTTCAGGTATTCTGTTATAAGCAACAGAAACAGACTAATACACCAGTATAGTAGATAATGCTCAGTTGCCATGTTTTATTCCACTGTTTGTACTGTTTACCAGACGTCTCCTCTATAATTTTATAAATGTTGCAACTGTTTTTCTTTTTTTCTAGTAATTCTCAAATTAGTTGGTTATTTTTGGAGTTGGGGTTGGAGAGAGTGGAAGAAAGGTTATTAATGCTCTTTAGTTATTACAAGAAATATTATTGTCCCATTTACCAAACATCCTTTTCTTCTAAAATGTGATTTCTGCTAACTGCAGTAAGGATATTAAGTGCTAAATGTGGAAACATGAACTAGCATATGTTGAGAGTATATTAAAAATATGTTCATGTGGGCCGGCCCGGTGGCGCACTGCTACAGTGCACCGCTTGGGAGCGCGGCGGCACTCCCACCGAGGGTTCGGATCCCACATACAGACCGGTTCCCGCTCACTGGCTGAGCAAGGTGCGGGCGTGACACTGAGGGTTGCGATCCGTTGCCGGACACGAAAAAAGACAAAAAGGGGAAAAAAAATATGTTCATGTGTTATTCTTACCTATAAGCACACAAATACTCTTTTTACTTAATTTAAATCATTCCATGCAACTAAATAATATAATGTAAGCACTAATTTCATAGATACAATTTTTTAACTCTGTTATTTATTACCAGACCCTCTATTTTTCAAAGTGGCCTATGAATTTGTTATTTGTATTTTCATTCTCTTTCAAAACCAGTATATGTTGTCTCACACCTTTGTATGATGCTCACATAACTATTTCACTATTCTTATAGGTATTTGTATTAGTCGAGTTTCTCTAGAAAGACAGAATCAATAGGAAAGATAGCTAGATATAGATATAGACATAGATATAGATATATGAGAGGGGATTTATTAGGGGAATATACTGATGGGATTATGGAGGCTACGATGTCCCACAACGGGCTGTCTGCAAGCTGGAGACCCTGGGATGCTGGTAGCATGTCTCAGTCCGAATCCAAAAGCCTCAGAACCAGGGAATCCAATGGTGTAATTTTTGGTTTGAGACCAAAGGTTTCAGTCCCTGGGGGCCGCTGGCATAAATCCTGGAGTCCAAAGGCCAGAGATCCGGGAGTTCTGATGTCCAAGGGCAGGAGAAGGAGTGTCCCAGCTCCGGAAGGAATCCAATGGTGTAATTTTTGGTTTGAGACCAAAGGTTTCAGTCCCTGGGGGCCGCTGGCGTAAATCCTGGAGTCCAAAGGCCAGAGATCCGGGAGTTCTGATGTCCAAGGGCAGGAGAAGGAGTGTCCCAGCTCCGGACAAAAGAGAGGAAATCCTTTTCTCTCCTTTGAGAGGTGGGGCCTCTGGGAGGTGATGAGGTCCTGAGGACTCTGCTTTCATGAATGGGACTGAGGCCTTTGTAAAAGAGGCCCAAAGGAGCTTGTCTGCCCCTTCTGCCATGTCAGGACATATAGAAGACACCTTTTATGAGGAACAGGTCCTCACCAGATACTGAATCTGCTGGCACCTTGACCTTGGAATTCCCAGCCTCCGGAACTGTGAGCAATAGATTTCTGTTATTTCTAAATCACCCAGTCTAAGTTATTTTGTTTCAGAAGCCCAAATGGAGTAAGACAGAATTCCCCTTCACCTCTTTTCCCCTGAAGCCCTCCTCTCTTACCTCTGTACTACTGTGCTACTCCTTGGAACAGTTGTCTGTTCTGTCTCTGCCTCCTAACCTCCCACTCACTCCTTAACGATTGATTGCATGCATCCCTATGAAAACACCTCCTAGCACATGACTTTTTCAATCCCCTTACTTTGCTTCTTTCCCTTTATTCCCTTTCTGCCCCTATTTAGTGTTTCCCAAGTTCTACATTTGGCACCTCACTCCTCGTTTATATATTCTGATCCTGTCCACTTGGATAGCATATCTACCATATGTGATAATCCCCCAAACCATAACTCCAGCCATAAAATTTCTCACAAGGAATAGACCCAGATTTCCAATTGCATCCTGAAAGTGTCCACCTGAATATCACAAGCACCTCAAACTCAACACGGCCAATACTAAACTCATTATCTTACTTCCAAAATATGTTCTTCCCCCCTGCATCATATGCCTGGGTAAATTTCACACACTCACTGAAGCTACAACCCTAGAAGTCGATCTGATTCTTCTCTTTCTCTTTTTGTTTTGAAATTTAAACTGTCTCAGAGGCCCATAAATTCAGTGGAATCCTTTTACCTAAGTTCTTAGTTTATTAGGTGTTCTTTAAAGAATAACTTTACACATACTCATTCTAGCACTTTATTGGAAATTTGTTGAATGCATTAATGAAATCAGATCAAAGTAAAAGCATCATTTTCATACAATAATATCCTGATATCTCTGCTATCTTCTTATATAATTTAATAAATCCCAGAACATTCCTGATTTTGGTATCAAAGCACTTGAGTCCAGAAATATCTTTATATAAATATAAATCATAGCATCTAACATAACCATCATTGTTTTGAGTTGGTTCTAAAAGCCCTGGGAACATCTCTTAAAATATAAGTACCTTGAACTGGCTGCAGTGCTTGTGGGAGGAAGTGAAGGGAGTGCACATGGAGCTAATTTTAGCAGGATCTGGGGCAGGGGGACACAGCTCCTCTCATGAAGGGTACACAAGAGGAGGGAGCTGGAGATCCTGAAAGCTGGGCAGGGAACTCAACCACCCTGCATTTTCCAACATTGCTTGAGTGCCAAAGCTGACAGAGACATGAGACTCCAGTGCAGAAAGAAGCCCATCACCTCAACTCCCTTGGCATTAACCAAAAAAAAAGAAAAAAGAAAAAAGAAAGAAAGAAAAGAAAAGAAAAAAAGCAGAGCCCTTCTGCAGATTACACAGGGGCAGAGATTCTGGCATAGAGAAAACTCTGGAAAGTTCTACCCATTTCCTTCCACCTGCCATACTCAGTTCCCTCCCAATTGAGAAAACATGAGGGAATGACACCTCAAAGAAAATAACCTTAAGCCAATGTGCCACTGGCCCTTGGAATGAGGACAAGGTGCCCTTTGCTTGGTTTGATGTGAGGGGGCACTGGCAAAGGCTGCTCTGCCCCCAGTGTCTCCCTCAACACCTTTAAGGCCATCATCAGTAATTAGGTTCTTTGGCTCTTCAAAGTTTCTCAGCATTCAGCATAACATCTGTATACCTGTGGCGGCTTTGCTGCTCACAAACAGCTTTCACCTCTACTTAGTCCATTGTTTCCCACAATCCTACGAGGTAGGAAGGGCAGAGATCATGATCCCCATTTGAAAGATAAGGAACCTGGAACTCATAGAGTTAGGTCCCTCAACCAAATTCACACAGCTGGCCAGCGGCAGAATCAAAACTAGAACTCAGGCCCGAGCTCCAAAGTCCCTCCTGCTGCTCTTCAGAGAATGGGGAAGAGGCTGGGGGAGGGGACACGTGGCCCAGGTCCCTCAACCAAATTCACACAGCTGGCCAGCGGCAGAATCAAAACTAGAACTCAGGCCCAAGCTCCAAAGTCCCTCCTGCTGCTCTTCAGAGAATGGGGAAGAGGCTGCGGGAGGGGACACGTGGCCTTCTTGGGAGGTTCTCAGACAGCCCCATTGAGGACTGGATGAGTTCGCATGCGATAGATGATGACTGCAGTGGCTGGGCACAGCAACAAGGAGGTCATGATGACAATGGTGGCCAGGATGATGAGGACAATGACCCAGACATCCAGGATGTGCTTGGGAAGCTCGACTTCCACAGGGACTTGGCTGACCACATCCATGCTGCTTCACTCTGCAACAGACAGGAAAGGAAAGTCACCATTGTGCACCCTCTCCCTACCTCCCTGGTTGGAAGGAATCCTCCAGAAGTCAGATGCTTGGGTTTCTTACTATCTGTGTGATCATAATTACAATGATCAGTAATTACAATGGCTTCATTTGCTGAGGGCTTCTATTACCAGGCCTGTGCTAGACACTTCATGTCTATTAACTCATTCAGTCCTCGCTTCAGCCACCAACCCTATGACACAGGGACTATAATTACTGTCTGTTTTTTATTTCTGGCCTTTATCTTCAGTTACACCCATTTAACAGATAAGGACTTTAAAGGCTTAAAGGGGATAGATGTCATTGATCTGACCAAGAAAGGGAACCCAGATGGGTGAAACTCCAGAGCCCCCATGCTTAACTATTAAACCACCATACTACCAGTCTGTTTCCTCATTTGCAAAATGAGAAACGCATTGTTTTTAGTCCTGTGCCCCTTCTCCAATTCTCCTGGTAACAGAACTCCCTCTTTTCAGAGGAGAACTTTCCTATTCTGTGTGGTTTAGGTGGGGCATTCACCTGAGCACAGGGATGGATATGTGACCTAGGGCTGGCCATGACAAATCTCCATTGTCACGATTCAGGGATGGACAAGAAACCCAGGTTAAGTCAACCAAAGTCCTCCCCAGGACTTTTATACACAAGCTCTTAGGGAAGATGATCTTTTTCTATTGGGATTGCTAAATTGAAATGATGTGAATCTAGAAAGAATGGGCCTGGAGCTATTATGCCCACATGTGGAGAGCCTGCCTAGAAATGGAAAGACAGATAGAGCCTTGATGACCTCATTTGAGCACCTGCATCCAGCCAAGATCAATGTCATCTGCAACCCTGGACATCCCAGATACATGAACCAGTATGTGAGTTCCTGTTTTTGCTTAAGCCAGTGTCCATTTCTTGTCTCTCACTTGCAGCCAAAAGAGTTCAGATGGATAAAGACATAAATCAGTTGTTCCCAATCATTTTTGATTCACAGCATCTTTGGTATCTTAGTAACTATGTCATAGGACCCCAGGCCAAAAGAAATAACTAGCAGCTTCCTACAACTTACTATTTATGTCCTAATAATTTAGTAGCTGTTTGAAAAATAATACCCACAAATTGAAAGAAAAAAATATTTTTATTTCATTCTTAACCAGTTACTTTCTAATGGAATGTGTGTACTTGTTGGACACTGTGCAACTTTTCAAACTTTGAATAAGATTGGATAATGCTATCCTCACTTCCTATTCCACACCAATTTTTGCCCAGTACTTGCCATATCACGGCAACCACCAAAAACTCAACTTCATAAAATAGAACATCACCAAAAGGAATGTAATAGGATTAATGTCATACTATAAACTACCTTGAGCTAGTAGTTTGCATGGTGTCTAAGAGATGTCAAATATCACCATTTCTGTCAAAAATTTTAAAGATCCTGCAGTACCCCCCTCCCTCCAGCAAGTTCACTGTGACTCCCCAAGGCATCTCAGGGCACAGGTTGGGAACAGATGTAATACTTTCCCTGCCCAGAGAGCACAAGGCTGGAGCAAACAATCTCCTATTTCCTTCTAAATCTGAGATCCGTACATCTGTGGTTCTAGGTCCCAGGTAAAATTCTCAACTCCAGTCCTGTTTCCTAGTCTTACCTAATCATTCACTTTTTCTTTCTGGAGCCTATGGCTCCATGTCCACTCTTGCCACCCTAAGTAAGGTACTGATCACCATACCCAAAGTAATCACCAAATGCCACATACCATGGTAAATGAGAAGCACCTTAGGACAGTATAAAAACACTGATTTCTGGGTCCCAATACAACTCAACTGAATTAGACTCAAGAGGGGATGGGAGAGGACTTTTTTCCCCATTGCCCAGGTAATTTGAATGTACAGCCAGGTTTGGGAACCCCTGGACTCAGCTATCTCTAAGGTCTCTAAGACCCTTTCTAGTGCTAGGATTGGGGATTGATTGCGAGGTGCTCTGTAGCCAGTCTGGTCATATGTGGGCAAGTTCCAAAATGAAGGAGAAGCCTCTGGCAAGACTCCCCAGGGCAAGGGGATTATCAGATTGGGGCCAGCAGAGCAGGAAGAGGCACAGGTTGGCCCTGCCTCAGCCTTTGGAGTCACTCTCTCCAAGGCCTAAGACACAGAAGCATGAGTCACAGGAAACACACTGTTAAAGAGGGACAGAGGCGAGAGAAATCATGCTTTGTGGTCTGATTACATCAACAGCTAGCCTGCCTTAGGCCAAAGGAACCCCACAACAGCCCTTTCTGGTAAACCCATTAACATCAAACAGTCTCTGTGACTACAAATGCCAGGAAAACATAATTTTCCTGGGCTGATTTTCATAAGCAAAACCTGTCATTTATGGGAACTCAGGCTTCAGGGCTCACGCACAATCAAGAATCACAGAACATTAAAGCTACAGCCAGTCCTATTTCACAGATGGCAAAACAGAGGACCAGGGGTCTTCCCCCACCTTCAGTCCTATGCCCTTCCAAAATAACCATTCGAATACATGAATCTGATCATGCCACTGCCCCTAAGATCAAATAAAACAAAACATGTAGATGAATAAATGAATTTTTTTCTGTAATCTGTATCCTAGACTGTACCAATATTATTTTTGCAAATGAAACTGTATTTAAAACTCCAGTCACAAAAACAGATAAAGTAAAACTGCTCTAGTAGAAGCGTGGGGTTTGGGGGGGGGGCTGTGGTCCTACCCCACTCAGTAGGGCTGGATAGATACCTTTGGAGGCCCTAAGCACTAGAGATTAGGGTAACTTCTCCCCTCATATATGCAATTCAAACTAAAAGCAATGTGAAACCATGACAAAATTTACATGTTATGATGAAGTTAGCTTTTTTCTTCTAACTGAAAAAATCTGCAAATGTAACTTTTCCCAGTTATTTTTTTGGTGTCATTGTGTGAAGCAGTCTGCTTATTTGGCACAACTATTCAGCTTCAGCTTGACTTCTCAGGATCCTCACAACAGGTTGTGATGTTCTCCAAGGACCCTTCCAGGGTGACTTTTCCAGCATTCTAAGGCTGGGCATTAGATGTGGTCAGGTGCCAGAGGGCACAGGGAGCCATCTCCCTGTTTCATTCTTCTCAGCCCTCAAACATTTGTCCTTCAACAGGCCGATCCTCTCCATGTAAACAGGAGTTCCAATCACTTCCATTTCTCCCCACTATGGAAGAAAAATTTTTCCCCAAAATAAAAACTAAGCAAACCATACATTCAGCATCTTGCAGGCTAGAAAATTTTGCTTGAGAAAAAGCAGGACTCTAAGCTTCTGCTAGTTGACTCCTGTTTGACCTCTGTTTGGCATTCAGACACTCCATGAGAGCATAAAACCTTGTTTCTTGGTACATCTAATTAATAGCCATAGATCAATTTGCTTTATCATGCACTTCGCAAATATTGCTTGTTATTTCTGATTAATGGTTCATGTTAGAAAACAGCCCAAACCATTTGTGCCACAAATTTAACTCTATCATTGATAAGAATGTGATGTTTTTATGATCACTAGAAGTAAAACACGAGTCAGGCCTAAACTCCTGTCATTTTGAACTGGTATGCTTTATCTGCTATTTACCTCATTCATTAATAATAAACTTTGGCATATGTTTAATATAAGTTTGTCTAAGAAAGAGCATTAACACTACCCTGAGCTCACCAGCAGACAAGCCTCTAGTACCAAACATGTGATCCCATCAGATTATAGGCCCTACACCACCAGCTCTGTGAAATGGACCCATCCATTGCTCCTCCTAAGTCCACAGGATTTAAGCAATTTAGCCAATTTAAAGGAAAGGTCAATAATCCCAAAATGACTATTTTGTATACATTAATGAGACTGAGCGTAAGGGTAAAAAAAAAAATGTAGTTTCCCCAAAAGTGGAAAATTCATCTTATCTATCAGGTACTCCACTTTATCCAATTTAGGCAGGAAAAGGGATGCCCTGCTGCCTGATTAGGAAACACCAAGCTTCACTTCTGGGACCATTTTTTTTAAGCAACTAAAAGTCTTGGGCAAAAGAAAGAATCATTGTTCCAGCCAGTTCCCTCACATAGCAAATTTTCTAGTTATAAGAAAAATTACAGATTTCATAAATTAAAATTTCCCACATGTTAGTAATTTTAGAATAATTAGACTCAAGGCAACAAGCCCATGCTATCTATTCACATTTCAACTATGAGACTCCCCAGCAAGCAACTTTTTCTTCTCTGACAGGGCAATATTGTTTTTATTTTTGGTTGAGTACTATCAGGACAAATAACTCTGTCCAGGATAGTCATTCATTTATTCATTCATCAAGTACTTGCTTTATGTAACATACTCCTCTCTTAGGAATTACTACTACTTACAACTTTTACTTCCAAGAAGCACGGAGAAGTGAAGAACCCCTCCCCTTATTTCCTCAAACATAGGGTCATACAAGCCAGCATTTGTTTAACAAATCATATTTGTTTAAATTTGTAAAAAAAAAGTCTATTTAACAAATTTATATTATTTATACTTGTTAAGCAAATACAAATTATATAAATTTTATATATATATATATATTTCTTTTTTTTTTTTTTTTTCTAAAAAGATGACCGGTAAGGGGATCTTAACCCTTGACTTGGTGTTGTCAGCACCACGCTCACCCAGTGAGCTAACCGGCCATCCCTATATAGGATCCGAACCCATGGCCTTGGTGTTATCAGCACCACACTCTTCCGAGTGAGCCATGGGCCGGCCCTAAATTTAATATATTAATAATAATAGTACTTATATTTAATATTAATGTTAAAATTTAAATATAATATATTAAATACTTGCTATAATATAAATAAATATTTAATATTATTAAATATTATAATATATTATAATTATTAATTATATATTATTAATATACAATATATTATTATATATTTTATATATTATTGATATTATATTAATTACTATATAATATTAAAATTATAAATT